TTCATCCCAGTCTCTGGTGGTTGCAGTGTTGGCATGGCTAGTGACTGTAAGGGAAACTGATCCAGAGATTCCACTAAAGACCTGGTGGGTCTTCATCTGGAAGGCCCTGGGAGCTTTCCCCGACAAGTCACAGTGGGCACCTCGTGCACTACTGAGGTGAATTGACCACTCTGGGTGTGTGCTGAATTCAGTCCTTCTCAAAAAAGCAAGGAAATGGTTAATTCCCTGCATCAACCTGGCAGATGGGGAGGAAGGGATGGGCTGGTCATTCCAGGTCATTGCTGTCTCCTGTGAGCCCACCATATTGTCCCCAGCTGCCCTCTCTGGAGCTGCCCCAGGCAGGGCTGCATCCTGCTGCCGGCACTTGCGTGAGCTGGCAGGAGAGGCTGCAGAGACCCAGTGTCCGTGGAGCTTCTTCCTGCTTTGCCCTCAATCCTTCCTCTGTGTTTGCACTACACACCATGGCAGGGTTGACTGCAGGCAGTTGACAGAGCAGAGGGTTTGTTGGTCTCCTGGTGTGGCTCACCCCAAAATAGGGAAGAAGCAGCTGGACCACCACTTGCAGACTCAGGATTACCCATGAAAGAGCTTAGCTGAAAGGTGCAGGTGCTTCTGAAGCAGTTTCTTCCAGCTGATGGGGTAATGGGGCACAACATTCAACCCCAAAACTCTGGAGATTTCATGTTTAAGCATCTCCTCATGCTTCTATGGACACATGATGCCCAGCAGATCTCCAGGGGTGGCAGTTCTCAGCATCCCCAGCTTGTCTGGTATCTGTGGGGCTCAGTGGTCTTTCAAGGTCTTTCAAGGAACATCCTTCATTTAGATGCAACTCCCAGAATATGAACACCTCAAAAATGGGAAAACTGAGTTGATTTTGCTGGTTTTCTGTTAGAGAGGGAAGCCTGCACCAGTTTCTAGCTGTTACTGGTCTTGGTGACCAGCCTGGCAATGTGTGCATGGCCTCAAACTGGGAGGGAAGAGAAGGCTTTACCAGAGTCTTGTATAGCCGGAGAAATGGTAGAGTTTGGGTGAAACCAAGTGGCTATGGAGAAGATGAACACACTGTAAGTGTGGCAGCAGTAGGAGAAGGATGTGGGATGAGAATGAGGCATAGGTGAATGCTGAACTCACAGAAAGCTGATGAATACTGGTTTGGGATTTGGAGATAACTCTTCCCTCTACTTCATGGTGGAGGGCTGTGGCCTGTTTGGAGCTAGAACAGCTGTAGAGGGGTGCTGCCCTCCATGGCCCGGGTTGTTTGGGGAGGCCTGCAGGGTGGACACCCTATTAACCCAGCCCTGTCTGCCCACAGCTACACCCAATGAGAATGGACCAGCGGATGCCACCACTCATTCTGGAGGTGAGTCTTCATTCCTCCCCTTGCACTCTTCTGCTCCTGTTGGTGAGAGGTACCACTAAAGTCTCCAAGAGATTGAGCTGGGACATCCTCCCCACACACCTCTGTGTAGGGCACCCAGATCCAGTGTGAGGGCATGGTGGTACCTCCGCTCCATCCTTTCAGCTCCCACTGCCACATGGCATGTCACTCCATGTCTTCTAGACCCTGGGCATCTGTCACTGTCTTCCTCCTGGCTTGTGTGTCTCTATTAACTGGATCCCACCAACTGTGACAGGAGCTCTGAGTCACAGTCAGAGGCACCTGAGTGGGATCACACACAGACATGTCTGCACTTGGTCATCCCAGTTGTGCTGACCCTGCACCTAGAAGGTCATCGAATCATGGAATAATTTAGATTGGAAAAGCCCTCTAGAGGCCATTGAGTCCAACCATTCCCCTAACACTGCCAAGGCCACCACTAACCATGTCCCCAAGTGCCACATCTACATGGCTGTTAAATCCCTCCAGGGACGGTGACTCCACCATGGCCCAGGGCAGCCTTTGCCAGGGCTGGACAGTCCTTTCAAGGGAGGACTTTTCCTAAATATCCAACCTAAACCTCCCCTAGTGTGGCTTTGAGGCCACTTCCTCTTGTCCTGTCACTTGTTCCCTGGGAGAGAGCCCAACCCCCACTTAGTTGCACCTCCTGTCAGGGAGTTGTAGAGTGAGAAGGTCCTACCTGAGTCTCCAACTCTCCTGAGTTCCCCCAGCTCCCTCAGCTGCTGTGGTTTTGGATGGGGCACTGGTTGGGAAGCACTTTGGGCTCTGAGGTGCCAGCACCTGGCTGAGCAGTGCTATGTGGTCAGTGGTTGCCAGGTGTTTCTGAGCCACAAACAAACAGTGCCAGTTTGTCCCTGTTGGGAAGATGCCTGTCCCTGGGGTTCCTGCAGAACTGCCCCATAGTGGGGAGCATTCCATAGGGTAGGACCATCATTGTTCAGGTCCTGCCCGTGCCACAGCAGTGGGACTGCAGCCACAGACAGGGCTGATGTCCTCCCATCTGGTGTCCCTCCCCAGGAGCCTGGGGCTGCTCAGGATTAGGCGGTGATTTATTGGGTTTTAATGGAAAGACAAGGAGAAGGCTGTGCTCTGCAGGTAGGTGATGGGAGGAAAGGAGGTTGGGTGACACCAGACAGGGGCAGGCAGAGGACAGGGTGTCTCTGGCTAAGAATGCAGCTTTGGATCTGAAGTTAGGGCCCTCCACAGAATCATTGAGTTTGGAAAGGACTTCTAAAATCCACACCTTTCCATAATTATTTTTCTGCCTGGTCACCTGCTGCATAAGGACCCACTGGAGTAGTGTGGGGGGGAGGCTTTCCCTTGGGAACTGAAGGTGAGAAAGTGAAATGCCAGAGATAAGGGAAGTGTAGAACTAAAAGGCATCCAGCAGCTTCCCCTGCCCCCACTCCTGGCAAGTGGGGCCGTTCATGGCTCAGGTATGTGTGGCATCCAGAGCTGCTGGTACTGCCTAGAGCGAGCTGATTCCCAAGGGAACCTGGCCTGTGCCAGTGTCAGGAGCACCCAGGGCTTGGCTCCAAAACTTTGGCATGTTCTCCCTAGGGCAGAAACCCACGCTGGATACTGCGTGGAGGAGCAAGGAGGAAATCAGGGATTTTGGAACACTGGGAGGTCTCGAAGTGCCTTCCTTGCCTCCTGCTGATGCCTTAGGGTAAAAAGGGAGGGCACGTGCTGATCTCTGGTGACCAGTGACAGGACCCAAGGGAATGGCAGGAGCTGTGTCAGGGGAGGTTTAGGTTGGATATTAGGAAAAGGTTCTTCTCCCAGAGGGTGGTTGGGCACTGGGACAGCTCCCCAGGGCAGTGGTCATGACCCCAAGCCTGGTGGAGCTCAAGGAGCATTGGGACAATGCTCTCAGGCACATGGTGGGATTGTTGGGGTGTCCTGTGCAAGGACAGGAGTTGGACTAATGATCCACGGGAGTCTGTTCCAACTCAGGATATTCTATGACTCTGTGAGCTTTAGAGTACCCCTGAGTGAGTGCTTCCTCTGGAGCATGTAGGGGGCTGTTGCTTGAGCTTCCTTTAACAAGGGCAGGGACTTTTCAGGGCCTGGATGTTTTATAAAAACAGATATGTCACGATTGGACTCGATGATCTTAGAGGTCTTTTCCAATTGTAATGATCCTATGATCCCCCAGGATTTCCAGCACAGTGTGTACACACACCAGCACAGCGTAAAGAACCCAGTCCCAGTGTGGTGTGCTCGGTTCCAGGGCAGTGTAGCCCGTCCCAGCCCAGCCTCCCTGAGCTCCTCCCCATGTGGAAGAGGCTGTATTTGTGCACGTCCTTGTGTTGGCTGGCAGCCAGCTCACCCATGCATTGCCAGTACAGCTCTAGAGGTGCAAAGGCTCTTTGAATGAGCTGGAAGCACAGGTGATATGTTTCGCTGGAAAGGGTGAGGAAATCTCTTGGGTCCTGTCCAGCTTTGTTAAGAGCAATGAGGTTGCAGCAGGGATGACTTTGGCCCATGGCACTCTGGTGACATAGTTCAAGGCTGTAAAAGCCTGGGCTCAAGCGTGCAGGGTGTGGGGTGAGATCAACTCACTCTCCTGGAGTGCACTGTAGGCTCTGCCAGGGAAACCTGGTGGTTTTGCCAGCTCCTCTACATATGAATGAGTCTCCGAGGGCTTTGCAAGGAGCTTGACACATGGATAACCACATAATTAAAGGCTGGAGCTTTACAGAAGAGCGTTAGCACTGGTATCTGTAACCACAAAGAGCAAAACTTGAGTCATCAAATGCCAGGGGATGAATTTCCTAGCGGATTGCTTCATCAGGTTGCTGAAGTATTGGGCCTGGATCCAGTGGGATGCCACAGCAGACAGGAACCAGGAGGGGAAGGAACCTGCTTGTCTGAGCCAGAGGTCCTGTTAGCTTGGAGTACCCAGACTTGTAGAAACATCTCTGCAGAACGATAACTAACCCAAAGGTTAGGTGAGGGCTGAGTCACTGCCAAGGTGAGGCAGTGAGAGTGTGCCTGGCTGTTTCCATATTAGCCTCAGAGTACACTGAATTAGTGGCAACATCACTAAGATTTCTAGGCCCAAATTATTCTCAATTAAAGGTATTGTTCTAGAATTTCTCATTTAATTAAAGATACCATCCAGGAAAAAGTGCATCTCAGGCTGCTGAGTTTAAAGGAGACCAGAGCCAGCATGTCTCAGGTGGGCTGCATATCTGACATGCCCAAAGTGTGAGGCTGACTGGAGCAGAGCTTCTGCTTTCATCCCATTCCTAGTGTTAAGTTCTCTTGTTTGTGTGACCAAGGCTTTGTACCCAAATCTTGTCTCCTCTTTCTCAGGCTGTATTTCTCTCCTAACTACATCTTCTGCTTGGCTACCCTGTGTTATCTGTGGAGATAGGGAGGAGGGAAGTGGGGCAGAGGACAGTGATTCACTCATGAGGAGGCTGGCTGAGTCAGAGACCGAAGCTAAACCACCTCAGTCTTTGGCTCCTGGGCCATTCCTGCCACTCTCTCTATTTCCTGCTAGTTCAAGTCCCTGGTGAACATTGGACTTTCACCACTGGGTGCCAAGGTCTCTCCTCACAAGTTCTCCTGTCCATGTTTTTTGCCACAGGCACGCTCTGAAATGGATAAGTACCTCTCAAATGAGGTGCCCCCCATGCCAATGATGCCAGACAAGAAGTACCGCCGGGAGAGTGCCTCTGTGGTGGATGAGTTCTTCTCCACGGAGAAGCCCAATTCCACGCCCTACAGTGTCAACATCAACGTGATCCTGCCGGACACGACACATCTGCGCACGGGACTGTACCGGCCCCCCAAACCTATGGCACCATTCCCACAGATCAAAACTGAGCCTGGCACCAGCTTCGCCCAGCCCTGCTCATCGGCCTCCGGCTCCACGCAGACCCTCCCTGACTTCACCAGTGTCTTCAGCATGCCCCAGTCAGTGGCAGTGAACAACATCTTCATCAAGCAGGAGATGCCCTCTGAGATCCCCTTATCTGCCAACCCACAGCAATCCCAGCTTTACCAGCTGCCTCTGGGCAATGGCAGTGCTGACATTCCCACTCTGACATCCTCCTCCAGCAGCACCACAGCCATCAACTGTCTCAGTGGTGTCACCATGTCCACAGGCAGCACCATGTCTGGTGTGGTCCACAGACCTGTCCAGTCAGGAGGGCCACTTAAGCAGTACCCACATGTCTCCCAGGGACAGGGAAGTTTCAACATGTCTGGGCAGTTCTACCCTGCTCCAGGGGTGAACCTGCCCCCTTCACCTCCCAACTCGCAGCCTGGCAGCCCAGAAAATCAACCTGAGCTCATCAACACCATCTCTCCCCCACCATCCTATGAAGCCACTTTTGGACTGAAGTTGGTCCAGTCATCCCAGGTCCCCCCAGTCCCCAATGGTGTTGGGACCCTCTCCCAGGGGCACATTGTCATGCAGCCTCCCAAATACAACAGACGCAACAACCCTGAGCTGGAGAAAAGGAGAATCCATCACTGTGACTACCCAGGTATGCACATGGCTTGGCTTTGAGGAGTCTCTTGGCACACTGAGGCTGGGTAGGGGCTGCCTTGGGCCTCTGTAGGGGTTTAATCTGAAATCTTTTTATCTGCATGATGATGGGAGCTGTGGAGCTGGGTGGAGAGCCCCAGGGAGGTAGGAGGGAATAAAAGAGGTTGATCCCATCTGCTCTGGCTGATGCCTGTTTGCTTCCCTTCCCTTTCCCCTTGGCACTCTGGCCAAAGCAAGCCTGTCTCCCAGAGGCAGAGAGCTCCTGCAAAGCACAGGGATGCTCCTGGAAGTCTGCTCTTTAGCTGCCTGTTTTGCTCTGGTCTTGCCTTACCCCAAGCAGCCACACATTCTACAGGTGAAACCATGCTGCCTTTCTCACTGATCCTTCCTTTCCTGCTCTCCCATGGGAAGAAAACCAGCAAGTAATTTCCACAGGCAGCCTTGCTGGGCTGTCTCTGTAGTCCCAGTTCTCTTCTTCCAAAGAGGCAATGAAGCTGAGTGTCTCTGTGTCATGTACTTCTGTGGATTCATGTACTACACCAGGGTGCTGTGGAAGGGCATTGCAGTGTAATCACAGAATGGTTTGGGTAGGAAGGCACTTTTGAAGGCCATTTAGTTTTTTGCAGGACTGCCTTCCACTAGCCCAGGTTGCTCCAAGCCTCATCCATCCCGGCCTGGAACACTTCCAGGGATGGGGCAACCACAGCTTGCCTGGGCAGCCCATGCCAGGGTCTCACCAATCTCCTTGCATAAAAACTTTTCCAGGCCAGAGTTGAAGCTGTTCCCTGTGTCACCACAGTGCATAAACATGTCCATCTAAAGACCCGTGAGGAGACCTTGCAGGGTTTCCTGCAATGTGCACAAAGAGCTTGTGGAGTCTGCAGCTTCAAACTCACATTTGCACATTCCTTCATTCATTCTCCATCTCTGGAAGTGTTCAAGGCCAGGTTGGACAGGGCTTGTAGCAACCTGGGCTAGTGGAAGGTATTATTGCCCATGGCAGGGGGTGGAATGAGATGAGCTTTAAGGTCCCTCACAACCTAAACCACTCTGGGATTCTCTGATACATGAGAGATGCAGATGGGGTTGTTTAGCCTGGAGAAGAGGAGGCTCAGGGGTGACCTTATCGCCCTCTACAACTACCTGAAAGGAGGTTGTAGTCAGGTGGGGGTTGGTCTCTTGTCCCAGACAACTAGCAGTAGGACAAGTGGGCACAGACTCAAGCTCTGTCAGGGGAGGTTTAGGTTAGATATTAGGAAGAGATTTTTTTACAGAGAGAGTGATCAGGCATTGGAATGGGCTACCTGAGGAAGTGGTAGATTCACCATCCCTGGAGGTTTTCAAGATGAGACTGGATGTGGCACTTAGTGCCATGGTCTAGTAACGATGGTAGGGTTGGACTCGATGATCTTTGAGGTCTCTTCCAGCCCTGTTGATTCTATGATTCTATAAATCAGAAGTGAGAGATCCCAATGACAGCAGCGTGAAGGCTTGGAAATCACCATTCCTAGTGCAGGGACCCACACCTCCTGCTTCCTGGGTCAATCCCCAGCCAACAGCAGTTGAGGATTAGCAAATAGTTTTCCCATAGGGTGAGTGAACTGAGGAAAGTAATTTCCTAACTGTCTCCTGTGAGATTTATGTGTTCTTTCTGTGGCACAGGAGTGGCTGGAATAGATCAGCCCAGAGTCTTGCCTAGCCCAGATTCTGTCTTCAGCCATGACCTCAGGAAATACATACATGTTTAGAGAGATCTTTCCCACCCTCTGGCAACTTGCAGATTAGGGACTTTCTGGGCCAGAAGCTGAACCTGTGTTCTTGTGGTTGACAGCTAGTTCTGAATTTGTAACCTTCTGCTGGTCATGGTGGGAGACAGATGAAGGGTGTAAATGGACCACTGCTCTGAGATAGGCTCATCATTCTTATCTGACTGGTCAGAGGAAGAGTCTCATCCTGCAGGATTCATTACTAAGAGAAAGCTGCTTTTAGCTGGATTTTGGCTTGTGGTGCAAAAAAAACCCCTACCAAGCTGTGCTGAATAAACAGTGGGTGGCTCGGTGGTGTGTACGTGCAGAGACGGAGGAGGACTATGTTTAATCCTTCACTCTGAGGTTCAGCTGGAGGTGAGACCAGTCAGGATGGCTGTCAGGGGCAGCAGTTCTCACTGACATGGTCAGCGAGAATTGATGGAAGATACAGAGAATTCACACTAGGAACTGGATGATCAGGGGGACCTGTTTGCGAAGCCCTGATCCAGCACCTTGTAGTGCTTAAAGGGGCTTCAGGAGAGCTGGAGTGGGACTTGGGACAAGGGACTGGAGATTCAGGACAAAGGGGAATGGCTTCCCACTGTCAGAGGGTTAGATGGGATATTGGGAATAAATTCTTCCCTGTGAGGGTGGTGAGGCACTGGCACAGGTTGCCCAGAGCAGCTGTGGCTGTCCCATCCCTGGAATTGTTGCAGTCCAGGCTGGACAGGGCTTGGAGCAACCTGGTCGAGTGGAAGGTGTCCCTGCCCACGGCAGGGCAGTGGAACTGGATGAGCTTTAAGGTCCCTGCCAACCCAACCCATTCCAGGATTCTATGATCTCTCTCCTGTGGGTGAGGGACCTCCAAGGCTTCAGACCACCAGAAGCAAAACTGAACTGGGACACTAGCCCCTCCCACCAGGGAAGGGAAAGGCAGTTGCTGCTCCTGCACCACTTGAGCAGGACTGGCCTGAAGGCTGATCTCGTGCAAGAGGCTCCTTTAGGCTGGGTGGAAACTCTGGAATGAAAAATGTGCCCATATTGCTCATGCAGGTCATAAAAATTCAAATTCCTATTTTAATATGCTTGTCAAAACACAAAGCAGCAGGGCCATAAAGGCAGCAGGAGAGAGTTTCCTAGGCTTTATCTAACTGAAATGAGGAACTAACAACAACTTATTTTGAGCCACCTGTCGTTGAAACTTTTGCCCAAGTCCCAGTGTTTCTGTTAGAGTCTTTCTTTGATTAAACCTGTTGTTGCTGATCTTAAAAAACTTCCCACTGGCTTTATTCAGCAACCTGGAAGCCAAGCTGTGGCTCCACACTGTACCTGGTGTTTCCTGCTTCCTGCTGGGGCTGGGACTATTATAAAATACATATTCTCTTCAGCTTTGCAAAGTGATATCAGTTATGTGTGGAATCCAGGACAGCATAAAGCCAGCAGCTAATGGGGGGTGAATTGAGTGTTTTCACCCTGTCTGGTGGAGGAAGGGGGGATTGAATATCTATGCCTGCCTCTTCCCACACTAATTCCCAACACAATGCCCATAGGTGTTAGGATTGTGTGGCAAAAGATGTTGTAAAAGTCTGTCTGTCTGTCTGTCTTGGAGAACAAATTCTGAACCCAAGTGGGTATGACCAGGCTTATTTGCATTGTCCCTCACCTCAGATATCAGAGTTCTGGGTTTGTTTGAGCAAGGGCTCCTTCCTCACAGGGAAATTGTTTCTCTTCTGTTTTTGCAGGTTGCTCAAAAGTTTATACCAAGAGCTCCCACCTGAAGGCACATCAGAGGACTCACACAGGTAAGAGCAGCACAGCACCAGTGCTTCTTACACTCTGCCTGGTGGTAATGCCAGTGAGAATGTCTCTGAGCCGATTGTGAGGGTAGTGAGCACAGGCAGCTCTATTGATGGTCATGTTAAAAAAAGCTCAGTGTTTGTGCTGGTTTATAGGACTATACACTCCTATGTGTGCTTGCTTGCCTTCTGCTGGGGTGGTTTGCAATTTAGGAGAACTCTTGGAGGCTTTAAAGTCAATGGACTGCAATAGGTACCCCTAACCCCCTTGCCCTAAAGGAGGGCAGGGTTAGATAAGATATTAGGAAGAAATTCTTACCTGTGAGGGTGGTGAGGCACTGGCACAGGTTACCCAGAAAAGCTGTGGCTGCCCCATCCCTGGAAGTGTTCCAGGCCAAATTGGATGGGGCTTGGAGCAACCTGGGCTAGTGGAAGACATTCCAGCTCATGGCAGGGGGTTGGAACGAGATGAACTTTAAGGTCCCTCCAAACCCAATCTATTCTTTGACTCTATGATTTTCAGTCACTCTGAGCTTTTCCTTCGAGATCTTCCAAATCCCACCCAGGTCTGATCCTGTTTATCCTACAGAAAGATTGCATAAAGGCCTGCATTGCATACATAGGACCTCTGAGGAGAAAAGGGCTGTTTCTTTTGTGTCAAGCACCCCTGTGGCTCCCAAGGAGAAGCCTGAATTCCTCACATCTCCTTGTGTACCAACCACGCTGACCACTCATGCTCAGTGCTTGTCCTTTTGGATGCTGCCAGTGGTGCATCACTCCCAATCCACATAGAGAAAGGCTCCAAATCCATGTAGAGAAGGGCTGTGCCCTCATTCCTGAGGGCAAAGGTGCCTTGCGGGTGTAAACAGCACAGAACAGATCCCACCACAAACAGCTTCCCTGAGCTAAACCTAGCTCGGTGGCACTTGTGCATTCGAGCACAGGTCCCCTCATTAAGGCATTTATTATACCTGAAACTTTATCAGATCCCCAGGTAGTCCAGGAACCATCAGTGCCCTCATAAATCTCTTTTATAGAAGGGCTGATCTTTACGGAAAGCAATTAAGCTGGCCCAGAGTTCACTTTTCTGTTTTTATGAACAACGAACAAACCCCATCCTGATGCTGGGAAATGGTTCTTGCTCTTGGCTCCATTCTGGTCTCCCCTTATCAGCCCCTCGAACATGCCAGTAAAGAATTTGTCTTTGTATGTGAGGCACAATATTTTTTTGGCAGGGTCTGGGTAGGAGCAGGAGTAGCCTGGAGAACAGCATGGAAGGGGTGGAAGAAAGGAACAGGAAGGACATTGTCCAGGCTCTTAGTGCTTGGTGATAATAAGCATTTGTCCCAGTCTGCATTCAGGTCTATGGTGGGGCTTTTGCTTTAAAATTCAAGATCTCTTTTCCCTTTCTGTTCAGAGCATGAGTCCTAGCTCCATGCCCAGGCCACGACCCATCTGAGTTAGGCATCTCCTTACCACTCATAGCATAAAGATTTATCCAGTAAAACTTGGGTTGTTTTGAAATGTGACCTGAGTAGTTAAGAAAACTGGTGGTGCTGTGGGGCAAATAAAAGAAGGGAATCCCAACCAAAGCCATACACAGACAGGCTCAAGGGCTCTACATCCATTTTTTTAGCCTCATGTTTTGTTTTTGAGACCTCAGCCTTGCTGAACACACCATCAGAGCTGCAATAGCAGGATAGTCCAAACTCCAGTTTGATGCTGCCTCAACTCCATCACCTCAAGGGTTAATCATGTCCTTTCTCTTCATTCCCTGCCTGATGGCAGCCAGGCTGAGAAGTACCTGATCTCTGAGATCTTTCCTTGTGGTTTGCCCGTTGCTATGGGCTGGACTGTGTTCCTCTCCTGGAGACACCATTCATTTCCTGGGTGCCATTGTGAGATTAAATATATAACTCAGTGGCTGCTCCCCCGCCTCCTGGCGCTGGGAATGTCAGTTTGGCTCCTTTGTTTGAGCCTGCCCTGCCGTGCTGTCCTGGGAGATGGAGCCAGCTCCTGGGACAATGGAAAGCGTTTGGTTTCTAGCCTGGAGATCAACCAGGTATTGTTTAAAACTAAAGGGCCAGGGTGGAGTTGACCCAGGCAGGTGACCTGGTGGGGACAATGTCTGGGCTGCATGGTGCCTTGGTCTTAGCACTCTAACACAGCCCTGAGATCCTCTGTGTGCTGTAAACACCCAATTTATAACTGCTTGTAAATCCACTGCAAGTTCTGTATTTACTTGAGCCATAAAAAACACACCTCCCTCTTCCCTGTGGTGCAGAGCCCAAGGGCTTTTTGAGGAGCAGGATATGGTCCTGGTGCCCTGTCTCCTCTAGGTTCATGTGTCTGTGCTTTCATATTTTATCCACTGTAGATCTTGCTGTGGCCAAATGTTTCCACTTTCCTGGTGAAACGTGGGTTCCCCATCCATGGAAGTACTCAAGGCCAGGTTGGATGGGGCTTGGAGCAGCCTAGTTTAGTGGAAGGTGTACCTGCCCGCGGCAGGGGGTGGAATGAGATGAGCTTTAAGGTCCTTCCAACCCAAACCATTGCATGATTCCATGGTTCTGTGAAGCACAGGGGCTGTGGGGAAGAACAGCCTCTGGCTGGGAAGCATGTCAGCACGGGACACACATGCCTGTGCATGCATGCTGCGTGTGTACGTGCGCTCATGCCGCGCTGGTGTGTTCAGCAATTGGCCAAGGAAACAGTAAATATTTGAGGTCGGGAAAGTCAGCACATTCCCTGAACTCTGCCTGCTTGTTCAGGCTGTTAAGAGCAAGGACTAATATTTGAGAGAACCACACCCTGCGTGGAGAGGGCTGCAGCCAGGGTTCAGCTCTGCAGGCTGGGCACGCAGGCTTTTGGAAGCGGACGTGGGTTTTCCAGCCCAGTTCCCAGCTGGCTGAGGAGTTGCATGATTTAATTGATTTCAGTTGGGGAATAGGTGTGTATGGGAGGGAGGGGGGAGAGGGCAGAGGCATGACATCACCTGAATGCTCTGAAGAAAACACCATGTGTTGTGAACAGGGAACTGCTGGTGAGTGAACTTTGGGGCAGAGAGTGTTAGATCATAGAATGATGGAATTATTTAGGTTGGAAGGGGTCTCCAAATGTCATTCAGTCCAACGCCTTGCCATGGGGAGGGACACCTTCCAGGAGCCCAAGTTGCTCCAAGCCCTGCCCAACCTGGCCTTGAATACTTTCAGGGATGGGACAACCACCTTCACTGGATGGTGGTTTCAAATTTAGATGTCATAAACTCTGCCTTTCTCCTGGTGCCCCCCACACCTGAGTGAGCAGCAACATGTTCCTTAGGAATTTTTTGATTTGAATTTAAAAAACCCAGACCTCTTAGAAGTTGGGGTTTTTTTAGCCAGAAATGCTCCAACATCCAACAGGAACTTGAACAGCACTAGAAAACAAGCCTAGAAAGCAAAGTAGGAGGAGGGTGAAGAGGGACAAGATATAGTTACTGCAGCTGAACAATTGGTGTTCCCTCAGTGGCTCTGGGCAGTGCCAAGTGTCATCATGGCCACCAGCCCTGGGTGTCCTCCTGTGTCTCCCAAGGAGATTGAGCATCTCCAAGAGATGTATATAAGTATCTGAAGGGGGGTGCCAAGAAGATGGATCGGGCTCTTCTCAGTGGTGCAAACCAATAAAACAAGAGGTAATGAGCAGAAACTTATGCACAGGAAGTTCCACCTGAATACAAGGAAGAACTTTACTGTGCAGTGATTGAGCATTGATTGCTCGAAGAGAGTTAGGATTCTTCCTCACCGGAGGTATTCCAGAGCCATTTGGATGCAATCCTGTGCCATGTGCTCTTGGATGGTTCATGGTTTAACCCAACCAGCAGCCAAGCTCCACTCCCCCCCATCAATGGGATGGGGGAGAGAATCAGACAGGTAAAAGCGAGAAAACTCATGGGCTGAGATAAAACCAGTTTAATAGGGAAAGCAAAAGCCACACACAAGAAGAGCAAAACAAGGAATTAATTCACTGCTTCCCTTGGGCAGGAGGTGTTCAGCACCTCCAGGAGAGCAGGGCCCCATCATGTGTAATGGTGACTTGGGAAGACAAATGCCATCACTCCAAACATCTCCCCAACGCCTCCTTCTTCCCCAACTTTATATACTGAGCATGATGTCATGTGGTATGGAATATCCTTTTGGTCAGTTTGGGTCACCTGTCCCAGCAGTGTCCCGTGCACCCCCAACTTCCTTGCCAGCATGGCAGTACAAGAAGCAGAAAAGGCCTTGGCTATGAGTAAGCACTGCTTAGCAATAACAAAAACATCTCTGCATTATCAACCCTGTGCCCTGCACAAATCCAAACCATAGCTCCATACTAGCCCCTGGAAAGAAAGTTAACTACCCCAGCCCAAATCAGCACAGATAGCCCTGCTTGAGCAAGGAGGTGGGACCAGATGACCCACAGCGGTCCCTTCCAACCTAACTGATTCTGTGAGAGGACAAAGTGTGTGACTGGGAGACCTGGTAGATGCTTGTCCATGTAGGCTCTTGGATGTGCTGTGCCCATGACCTGTGGCTGTTCCCCACAGGTGAGAAGCCCTACAAATGCACCTGGGAAGGCTGTGACTGGCGTTTCGCCCGCTCCGACGAGCTCACCCGGCACTATCGGAAGCACACGGGTGCCAAACCCTTCAAGTGCCTCACCTGCGGCCGCTGCTTCTCCCGCTCTGACCATCTGGCTCTCCACATGAAGCGGCACCAGAACTAGGCGCTTCCTCCCTTCACAACTTCTCTAAGAGCAGCTGAAACTCTTTCCTTCTCCAAGGAGCTGTACATAGGAACAAACTCACGCTGTGATCAACCAGCAGGGCAGGAGTGGTGGGCAAGGCCCCCACAAGCCTTGGCCCCAACTCTCTGCCTTTTTAAAAGAAATTGAAAACTCAATCAACTCATTTCAAATGAGTTATAATTAGAGACTGATCTCCTGACGAGGCTCCTGGCAGCACTGGGGCGACAGACGTTGGATTCCAAAGGGCTTTCTTCCAGCAAGCCTGCTATTTATTTGTCACTCAGGAGCAACTGTCCTTCATGTCTCAAGTCCTTTGATTGTTTTTACCCCTTTCAGGGCGGTGCCTCTGGTGAAGCCCAGGAGGGATGTGACAGGTTGGCAGCTTGGCTGTGCATGAGAGGTCTTGCTTGGACCGTCTTGGACTGTCCCATGGCATGGCCATGGATGTGACACCTTGTCCCATGGTGTAACCATGGATGTGACACCTTGCCCCATGGCATGGCCATGGATGTGGCACCTCTGCCATGTGAGAACAGGAGCACTTACCCAGGGCTGTTTGGGTTGACAATCCCAGTCTCTGTGGGGGCATAGAAGAAAAAACCTGACATACTCACCTGATGTGCCTTCAAGCAAGGGACAGCACAAAAGCAGATGACAAAAGTATCACCTGTGTCCTGTTGAGCCCAGGTGTGGTGTCCTGGCAGCCAACTCACTTGGGACTGCAAATACTGGCCCTGCTTGGCCAGGTGTTTTGGTTGTGTCCTTAGCATTTCTGCTTCCAACATGAATTTTGACTTCAGGTGTCTCTGGGAGGACCAGCATGGGTTTTGAAGACACCCAGGGTACTGCAAAAAAAAGCCACTGATAAAGGTCTGGTTTCCCAGAATACACTAGTGGTGCCTTTCTCCAAAAAGCACTGGGCAGGCTCTGCTCCTGCCTGAGACATGCACACAAAGACTTGGTCATTGCTGATCACACCAGGCCTGTGCTGTTGCTGTTTCATCACATTCAGCTGGAAAGAAAGAAAAAAAAAGAATCTTTGAAACAAATTCCAATAAATCCTCCTGTTCAGGTTGTAATCATGTTACCTACCTCACAGGTTCACCCCCTCGGGCTCCATAAGCACCTTCCCCCTCTTCCTTGTGCTGCCACAATGCACAGGGCACATCACCCATCCTCCAAAGCCTACCTGGGGTTAAATTTGGGCAGAAAAAGAGCCAGGCCGTGCCAGTTCCAACAGCAGCTGTGCAGGCCATAAATAAATCAGGAACAAATAATGGGCCTGGTATGTCCAAGAGAATATTGATTTCTTCCACACCTTCTTCCTCTTTTATTTCTCCTCGAACAAATGTAGGTGATACACACACTGCTGTGTATCTGCAGTGTGAAATTAAAGGCCACACTGAACTGTGGCACCTTTGGGTGGTGAAATTTGATGGCCACTCCTCTCTGCTATTGCCAAACCCAACCTGCCACTGGGCTCCTGGTTGGCCTTTACCTTGAATAAATAAAGCTGATCCTACCTGCAGTGCACATAGCTGGTGCAGTGCAACAGGAGAGGAGGTCAGGAAGGATTTGCAGGATGCATGGTGTGGTGTAGGCTTTGGGATGGATGATGTGCCTGGGGCTGTTGGTCCAGTGCTGTGATGAGCCCTTTGTGTGGCTCTTTGGCAAGGAGCCTCCTCCTTTCTCCATGCCACCAGGGAAGGTGAGAATGGAGGGGTGAAGTCAGGGCATGGAATTGCTGGAGGTGATTCAGATGGCTTTCTCAATGGTGCATGGGAAGGGCTTTCCAGCCCTCTGCACCAGGACCTGTGCCTAGCTGGAGGGTCTGACAACAGCAGCCTCTTGACATCATGCTCAAGTGAAGATTGAAGACTCTGGCTCACACTCAGCCTTATTGACCATGTGTGTGGCCTCCATTTCCTTTTTCCAACTCTTCCACTGCTTGTTGTTGCAACTTGATGGGGATTGGCCAGTGCTGGGGCTGGCTCTGTAGGGCCAGTAGGGACCCAACATGGGTATGCTGGGACCTGCTGGGCTCCACGCGCTGTGCTGGCACCCGCTCAGCCCCTCAGTGAGTGAGCTCTGGCACAGCAAACCTGTGTCCCCATGTCCCTCAGAAGCTCCCATGGCTGCAGTCCCAACCTCCATGCTCCAAGTTGGTTTTTTGGTGCATGCAATGTGGTTGAATCTCCTCAATGTGTGAACCAAACCACAAGGCACAGGGTCCTTCCAGCCATGTGGGCTGCTAATGGAGTCAGCCCTCACCCTGTTCCTCTCAGAGAGGTCTCTTTGCCTCCCTCTGCTTTTTGGAGAAGGAAACCTCCACTGTGATGCTGATGGGGCCCCAAACCAGTTCACTAAAATCCAGTACAATGCCAAACCACCCAACAGGCAGCTTGAAATCTTTGGGGAATTGGAAATAATTTTCCTGAAAATCTTGTTGGTTTTTTTTCACTATAGAAAAAAAAAATTATCTGCTTGTCCTCACCTAGACTCTGTGTGTGTATATATATATAAATATATCTATTTTTTTTAATTTGATGGGGAGGCAGAGGAAGAAGTGTCTTACCATCCCAACCCAGTGCTGCCTTGAGCAGCTTCACTGTTCTGTATGCAAACTGCTGACATGCAAATGCTTTACTATGCAAAGGCAATGCTTTTTTTTGGTTTTGTTTTAAATAAGGAAAACCACAGCAAGCCTTGGCTTTTCTTGCTCTATTTTTATATGTACAGAAGTGGACAGCCCTAGGTTTGCATTTCATTGCACCTCTTGGTGGCCAAGGGCAGCTATTCTGGGGAGAAAGCGAGGGAGTTGGGGAGCCTTGTATGTGCAAACTCCAGCCAAATGAAGGTCCCTCCAGCCCTGGTCCCCTGGGACACTTGGGTGACAGGGACTTGGGAAAAGCTTTGCAAGGAGCAGAACAAAGGCTGGGAGGTGAGTGCCTTGTCTCTGTGTGATGATGGGAAGAAAATCACTGTAAATAGGCCAAAAGTGCCGTATGGCTTCATGGGTCTGTGTGGATTCAAGGTGATCCTTTACTGTCCAAGATGAACACAATGTGAAAACAAATTGGGACCTGGAAAACTTGGGTGAAGATTTATTTTTCTGGTGATGCTGTGTTTGTTACGGAACCCTCTCCCCTGCCAAACTCCCCTCTGACTATTAATCCAGCTCATATTTTGTAATAAAATTTTATCACATGGAGATGTGGTCTGGTTTCTCTTCTCTCCCATTGCAAATGCTCTTTTTGCCTTTACAGGATTATGAAAAGGTGGGGGGAAGGCTTTTTTTATTGGAGAAATGGATCTCCAAGCAGGGAAGGATCCATGCATGATGTGAGCCTGGAGTACGAGGCAATGCTGTGGGTGTCATTCTGTGCTGAGTCTTGTCCCAAGCTGATGTTGCAATACTGTGTGAAGGGAAAGGAGGGGCACAACACTTATTTTTAATCCCCTCTATCTTTACTATGTGTTCCTATTTTCTGTTGTGTGAGGGGAGAAGAGGCATCCGCAGACCCAAGGGGTTGAAGGGACCTGGAGCAGAGCCAGCAGGGGAGAAGAGAGAGCCAGGGGGGACATGAGGAAGTGCTGGGCTGGGGACATGGAGTTCCAAATCCCTGTGGGTGAGCTTTTGTGTGTATATAAACACACATACTGTACATATGCAAACAGCTCTGTGAGGACTGGTGAGCTCATGCCTTTAGCATGCACACACCCACACACACACCCAAACATCCCCAAACACCCCCAAACACCACCACCTCCCCAGACAGGCTAAACCAAACAGCTCTTTATAAGCTGTTCCTGGCAGGATCCCATCTGCCTTCTCCAGCATCTCCTTTGTGACCGCTTCCCACAGCCGCCTCCCAGACTGGCTGCACTTGCAGGATCATGTTAAAATCAACAATTCCCTAAAGCTTCCCAAAGGTTTTGTGTTTCAGCTGCAGTTTTGTTGTGAAGAAAATCCTCTTTCCTGACTGATTAAGTTGCTTCAGCTCGAACTTCATTACAATGTTGAGACGAGTTGTGTTACACAACCGTTGAGGTTGGAAAAGCCTTTCAAGATCATTGAGTCCAACTGTTCCTTCAGCTCTGCCAAGGCTACCAGTGAACCATGTCCCCAAGTTTCATATCTACCTGTCTAGAGATCTACATACAGGTAAAGCAGAACATGTAGATATGAGGAAGTTTTGTGGGATCCCCAACACAAAATGAAGGAGGTTTTTATGATGAGGGTGCTGAGGCACTGGCACAGGTTGCTCAGAGCAACTGTGGCTGCTCCATCCCTGGAAGTGTTCCAGGCCAGGTTGGATAGGGCTTGGAGCAACCTGGGCTAGTGGAAGGTGTCCCTGCCCATGGTAGGGGGTGGAATGAGATGGGCTTTAATGTCCCTCCCAACCCAAACCAGTCTGATTCCATGACCTATCACCCAACACATGTCCCTTGAATCAATCTCCTGCTCTTTCTGCATGGAAACTTTGATTTTTATGTACAGTGTCTTGCTGGCTGGTATGGAAGAAGCCAGGACACTGTTCATTTTTGTTCAATACATTCCCGTGGAAAGAGCCATCACATGCCCAAACACCTGAACATCTCCATGAACCTCCTCCTGTGCCGCTCCTCTCTGGACTTTGCTCTAGCTGTACAGCCAAGCTGGTGAGACCAAGGGAATGAATAATGGGGAAGCTCTGCCATAATGTCAGGAAAGTTTAGAGAGTGGATAATTGCATGAGAAACTGAAATGTCCTTCCTCAAAAGAGCTGCAGTGAGGAAAACCCTGGAGAGGGCATCAGAGGGAGAGATGTAAGACCTTGCTGAGGTCCCTTTGGGGCCAACTCCTCCCTGAAACACTGAGGAGAAGGTGATAATTAAAAGAAATCCTTTTTGAGCAATGGCAAACCTGGGACAGAGCTCAAAGCAGAGAAGGAATTTCAGTCTCATCCCCCAAGGGGTCCTCATCAGAGCAGGACCCC